GGGGGGGGGCGTTGGGGAGGGGTGCGTATTCCATCACACTCCTGACTTGTACCTGGTAGGTGGTGGACAGGCTTTGAGGAGTCAGGAGGTGAGTTAGTCGCCGCAGTATTCCTAGCTTCTGGCCTGCTCTTGTAGCCACTGTGTTAATGTGGTGAGTCCAGTTGAGTTTCTGGTCAATGATAATCCCCAGGATGTTGACATTGGGGGATTCAGTAATGGTAACACCATTGAATGTCAAGGGACAGTGGTTAGATTGTCTCTTATTAGTGATGGCCATAGCCTGGCATTTGTGTGGCGTGAATGTCACTTGCCACTTGTCAGCCCAAGCCTGGATATTGTCCAGATCTTATTGCATTTGAACATAAACTGCTTCAGTATCTGAGGAGTCGCGAATGGTACTGAACAATGTGTAATCATCGACAAAGATCCCCACTTCTGACCTTATGATGGCGGGAAGGTCATTGATGAAGCAGCTGACGATGGTTGGGCCAAGGACACTACCCTGAGGAACTCCTGCAGAGATATCCTGGAGCTGAGATGATTGACCTCCAACAACCACGACCATCTTCCTATGTGTCAGGTATGACTCCAAGCACTGGAAAGTTTGCCCCCTGATACCCATTGATTCCAGTTTTGCTGGGGTTCCTTGATGCCACACTCGGTCAAATGCAGCCTTGGTATCAAGGGGTGTCACTCTCACCTCACCTCTGGAATTCAGCTCTTTTGTCCATGTTTGAACCATGGCTGTAATGAGATCAAGAGCTGAGTGGCCCTGGTGGAACCCAAAATGGGTGTCACTGAGCAGGTTATTGCTGAGCAGGTGCTGCTTGATGGCACTGTTGATGACACCTTCCATCACTTTACTGATGATTGAGAGTAGACTGATGGGGTGGAAATTGGCCAGGTTGGATTTGTCCTGCTTTTTTGTGTACAGGACATACTTGGACAATTTTCCACATTGTTGGGTAGATACCAATATTATAACTGTACTGGAACAGCTTGGCTAGGGGAGCGGCAAGTTGTGGAGCTCAAGGCTTCAGTACTATTGCCAGAATGTTGTCAGGGCCCACAGCCTTTTCAGTATCCAGTGTCTCCAACCCTTTCTTGATATCACATGGAGTGAACGGAATTGGCTGAAGACTGGTATCTGTAATGCTGGGGACCACTGGAGGAGGCCGAGGTGGATCATCCACTCGGCATTTCCGGCTGAAGATTGCTGCGAATGCTTCAGCCTTATCTTTTGCACTGATGTGCTGGGCTCTTCCATCATTGAGGCTGGGGATATTTGCGGAGCCTCCTCCTCCAGTGAGTTGTTTAATTGTCCACCACCATGCACCACAGGAAGTGGCAGGACTGCAGGGCTTTGATCTGATCCATTGGTTGTGGGATCGCTTAGCTCTGTCTATCACTTGCTGCTTACGCTGTTTGGCGTGCAAGTAGTCCTGTTTGGTGGCTTCACCAGCTTGGTACCTCTTCTTCAGATATTCCTGGTGCTGCTCCTGGCATGCCCTCCTGCACTCTCCATTGAACCAGGGTTGATCCCCTGGCTTGATGGTAATGGTTGAGTGGGGGATATGACAAGCCTTGAGGTTACAGATTGTTCTGGAGTACAGATCTGCTGCTGCTGATGGCCCATAGTGCCTCATGGATGCCCAGGCTTGAGTTGCTAGATCTGTGTGAAGTCTGTCCCATTTAGCACGGTGATAGTGCCACACAACACGATGAAAGTTTATCACAATGTGAAGGTGGGACTTCGTCTCCACAAGGACTGTGTGATGGTCACTCTTACCGATACTGTCATGGACAGATGCAACTGCAGCTGGCAGATTAGTAAGGATGAGGTCAAGTATGTTTTTCCCTCTTGTTGGTTCCCTCACCACCTGCTGCAGACGCAGTTTAGCAGCTATGTCCTTTAGGACCGACCAGCTCGATCAGTGGTACTGCTGCTGAATCATTCTTGGTGGTGGACATTGAAATCCCCACCCAGAGTACATTTTGTGCCCTTGCCATTCTCAGTGCTTTCTCTAAGCGTTGTTGAACATTGAGGAGCACAAATTCATCAGCTGAGGGAGGACGGTATGTGGTAATCAGCAGGAGATCTCCTTGCCCATATTTAACCTGAAGCCATGAGACTTCATGGTGTCCGGAGCCAATGTTGAGGACTCCCAGGGCAACACCCTCCCGACTGTATACCACAGTGCCACCTCTGCTGGATCTGTCCTGCCGGTGATAAAGGACATATCCAGGGATGGTGATGGTGGTGTCCAGGCGCAAGAGGCTAGCTACTGTGCATTACACACCTGTTTGGGCTCTAAAACGCCCCAGGAGAAGCTACAAAATAAAGAACCAGCCTATGTCCTTAGACTCAGAGGGGAAGGATGTAATGATTGCAACAAGGTGAGTCAGGTGGTTCCCTGATTGGGGCTGTTAATCTGGTCCAATCAGGGCATTCTGGCTGACAGATAAGGAGTGTCAAACATCCTATTCACTCTGAGAGCTGGCTGTGAGGAGCTGGATCTGTGTTAAGGTCTCTCCATGTGCAAATAAAGGGTGACTTGGTGATTGGATATCAGTGTCTGTGGAATTATTTCCCATACATTATGTGCAAGTGTGTGGTATGGAGAAATGGGTGTCTCAGGTATAGGAGTTACAGAATGTATAAGTATGAGAGGAGGAAGAGGTGGAGTGGTGAGGTGCAGTGATAGTGGGAAAGTGAAGCAAATTGGGTTAAGGAGAGTTGTGAGGTGTACATGTGTGACTAAAGAGTAATTAGGCTGAGAGTTGAGGTTCTTATCTTGACAGTTGTTCTGAAATCAGGAAACTTCTTTTAGCGTAGGCAGCCTGGTCCTGCTAACTGAACTCAGCATTAACCTCCTGAGCAATTGTTACAACTATCAATGCCCAATCAGAAGGTTACACCCCACTGCAGAGCTAAAGCACAAAATCAAGGCTGATGGCCCATGCAGTCTGAGAGAATACTGCACTGTCAAATATTCTGTTTTACAGATAAAATATTAAACTGAGATCCTAAATGCCCCCTCAAGTGGACATAAAAAATATTGTGGCACTATTTTGAAGATGGACAGGCGAGGTATCCCTAGTGTTCTGGCTAATATTTTTTCCACAATTGGCATTCCCAAAACAGATAATCTGATCATTGTCATAATGTTGTTTATGTCAATTTGATGTGCACAAAATCATTTTAACAGCTAACAGACAAGCAAACTGTTCAACAATTGACTACTATGTTGAATGTATGGGTGCAGCAGATGTGGTACTTTCTCTCGGTCTTCCATCCACATTGGAAGCTTTTAATGCTGTTTTGCTGCTTGTACCCTCTCGTTAGGAGGTGTGGTTGCCTTTAAATGGTGTCATTGCTGTCCGATTAGCAGCCTGGCCCAGCCTGGATGTGTAGCAAATAAGTACTTTGTGTTGGCTGCATGATAGTCTCAGGATAATTTTGCATTTCCTGTGGCTAATATGATGTGAGTATACAATATATATACATTGCACTGACTGCTGGATCCCCATTTTTAGGGACAATCAATTTTATAGGCCAGAGGCTATATAAATCTAAGATGTTACAACTTTAGATTTCTGGCATTGTAAAGCTGAGCTTCCACTTTACTTTCTCTTCTCCTTTCCCCACCTGGACACAGCTATACCCTTCTCTCCAATCCTGTTTTGCCTGAATACTGCACTGAGTCTTTAACTCTCCAGGTGCAACACTATGGAGATTGTCCTGTATCATTACAATGAAAGATATTAAGAAAGATTGTATCCCAATAAGCAATTATAATGATATTACAAACATCAATGAGAGGTTAATTGAAATTATTAAAGCATTCTCCTGATAAAGCAATGAGCAATACTCTCGATAAAATGTCATTATGTCTCCTTTCTCGTTCTGTCCTTCCGGAATGATGTTCCCTTCTCAAAATGCCAGACGATGGAGTATCCTGGTTTTTATGGTTACTAAATGAAATTTGGTAAGAGTAAAACCAGAAAGAAAATGAACTGCAGTAAATAATTACATATGTAATTGAAGGTACTGAAATCTTCTGATTTGATAAGGGTATAAGGAACATCGATATCTGGAGGAAGCAAAGGCAATTTTTTCAATATTTGGATCCAGTTCTCGATTGGTCTCCTGAAACAAAGCTGCCTTCTGGCTTTTCATTAGGAAGTAGCACCAAACTACATTTGCAACAAAAACCTAAATATAACACTTTTTTCTTTCTAATAATGTACTGTCCCATGTTGTTTTACCTTTTAGCTTTGCTTTTACATGCTTTACTCTCAATTTTTTGTTCCTGTCATGTTGTTAATATTTTATCTTATCAGTAGTTAGTTCAGAAACCAAATATAGTTCTCTTGATCTTCATTAAATTCTCGAACTCACATTTACACTGAAAAAAACCTCATTTATTTTACAGAAATAGACCACCATGTAAAGATCGTGGAAATGTTTATCTTGCTTCTTGTCTCCAGAAAGTATTATCGCAAACAAATGCCAGACTCAACTCCGCTTTATTTTGAAAATCCACTTCATAACATGCCTTGATTTGATGTTTTTAATAATAGGTCAAATTATGTTTCCTCTATAAATTAGTTATTTGTTCAAAAAAGGAAACTTACAGTGACATATGGCATTAAATTCTATGAGATTTATCTACATAATGTGTGGGATTGACTTTTGATATTTCATCATGTCGCACAAAATGTACTTTCTCAGTGTTATTGCCAAGACAATAAAAAGGAGAACCCTTGAAAAATACAATATTTTCCCTGTACTTTCTTTTGCATATCAAAGTGTGAGTTGTATTCAAATGGTTCTGCTGCAGAGAAGCTTTGAATCTCTTTTTTAAGCTGTATCAACATAGTGAGTGAGTGTAAGGAATGGAACTAGTGAGAGGAAAAAGGAGTTTACCTACATCCATGAAAGCATTTTGATTATCAGTGTAATTTCCTCCAGGAAAGTGTATTCCAAAAAAATACTGTTTGCATTTCGGATCACAAATACTGGCACAGATCATTGACTTCTGAAAGAAAGGAGGCGAACACACCCCCATCTACATTCACGGAACTGAGGTTGAGAGAGTGAAGAGCATCAAGTTCCTCGGAGTGACGATAACCGTCAACTGTCCTGGACTTCCCATGCAAATGTGACAGTCAAGAGGCACAACAATGCCTCTTCTTCCTTAGGAAGCTCAGGAAATTTGGCATATCCATTAGGTTTCCCCACCAACTTCTACAGATGCACCATTGAAAGCATACTGTCCGGGTACATAACAGCTTGGTATGGAAACTAGTCTGCCCAGGACCGTAAGAAACTACAGAATGTGGTGTGCACAGCCCAGACCATCACAGAAGCCAACCTTCCATCCATGGACTCCATTTACACAGCTCGCTGATGCAGAAAAGCGGCCAACATCATCAAAGACCCATCGCACCCCGGTAATGACCTCCTACAACCTCTTCCATCAGGCAGAAGATGCAGAAGCCCGAACGCACGCACAAGCAGGTTCAGGAACAGCTTCTTTCTAGCTGTTATCAGACTGTTTAATATACTCTAGCCTCAAATAATGTAACCTGCAATGTAACTTGTATGCCTCTAAGTGCTTTTTGATTTGTATGTCTTTTGCTTGCTGTGATCTGCCTGTACCGCTTGTAAACAAAACTTTTCACTGTATTTCAGTACATATGACACTAAATCAATCAATCAATCAAACAAACAATGATGGATAAATTGGGTTCCGTAGTGCACACAGCTGCCATTTTGATATCAAAACTTTGGGGGCATTGGCCAGTATGAGAAACATGCACTGAAGATATGTAGGTTACAGAAATCATGATTCTGCATGTAATGCTGATTTGACATCAGTGATGTCATTTTCACCCTTGTCTCACTGGCAAAGTGTGCACAAGTGTACCTACATTCGGAAACATGAAGGACCTCACCCCTGACCTGGAAGCACTCGTAAAGGAGTCATCAACTATCCTGGGGTTAGTTTTTGATTAATTTATATTGTCTCGGTTGAAGGTTGTGGAAGTGCTTGACACTTTGTAGAGCTGCCCAAATTTGGCCAAGTTAATAAAGGTTTGTGCACCATAAGGAGAAGGCCTCAGTTCTGACCACAAAGTTTCTGTGCAATTCATGTTGCACTAGTTGTTCGTTGCCAAGCTGCCTTGCTCTGCAAGGTAACAAGGGGATGGAGCAGAGGTAGCAAAGAAAGGAAAAGTTACTCACAACTTAAATCTGCAGTGTGTATCATCTGTACTTTATGAAGGAGTTAATTACAAAACTCATCATGAGACAAGTTTCTTTTCTTTATTCATTCACAGGATGAGGGCGTCACTGGCTAGGCAGCATTTATTGCCCATCCGGCAGTTAAGAGTCAACCACATTGCTGTGGGTTTGGAGTCACATGTCGGCCAGACCAGGCAAGGATGGCAGTTTCCTTCCTTAAAGGGCATTATGGTGTTTTCCCCTTACAACCGATTCACAGTCGTCATTAGATTTTTAATTCCAGATATTTATTGAATTCAAATTCCACCATCTGCTGTGGCGGGATTCAAACCCAGATCCCCAGAACATTACCTGGGTCTTATGGATTAACAGTCCAGTGATAATACCACTAGGCCACCACCTCCCCTCTAATGGTGTGGACAAGATGAAGACCCTGTAGCAGGCAACCTGTGTCACCAAGAGGAGTGGATAAGACGAGGACCCCAAGACAGACAGCATCACCGAGAGGAACAGGTGTCATAGATTTGACCAGCTTGAGCACTGGGCTTTTGAGCTTAAGCATCAATTAGAGCCACGCAGTGAATCTGAGAGTTAAGTGGATTTAGATGTTTTTAGAAGTCACTCCACACCTTAAGAAAATGCTCTCACAGGAGGAATAGCTGACCACCAGTCAGAAGAAGAAAGGCAGGCAGTTAGTGAGGAAAGTCTCAGAGTGCACCTTCCTCTAGACAATTTTTCTGTGTTTGAAAACAATGAACATGATGGTTCTTCTGGGGAGTGCAACCAGAGCCCAACTGCACAAGGACAGAGGACAAAGTGAGGAAGAGCAATTGTGGTAAGAGACTCAATAGCAAGGGGTATAGATTTTAGGTAAAAGACAGGAGGCTTAGAGGAGATTTAAGAAAGTTTTCTAGGGGTATTCTGGAACTCACTGCCTGAAAGGGTGGTCGGGGCAGGAATCATCACAATATTAAAGAACTGTATAGATTATAACTTGAAGTGTCACAGCATACAAGACAATGGGACAAGTGCTGGAAAAAGGTGAGTTTAGCTGGGCTCCTGTTGACTAACACTGACACAGTGGCTGAAGGGCCTTGTTCCATGCTGTAAAACTCTTTAACTCTGTAGTTCTAATGCTTGTACCTAGAGCAGTAGCATCAAGCAGGAGGTTCTGCCAGTGCCTGCGAATGTGATTGTGACCGTGAATTTCTCAATGTCAGAATCTTCCAGACTGTTCTGCTGACATTTGTGACATCATTCAGTTCGCTGTCCACCATTGCATAAGCAAGTATTCCAAGGCAGGAGAGTTCTTGTTCTCTCTGACCACAGCAAAGAAGACAGATTTCCCATCATCTAAGATATTATTACCATTGAACAGCTGCAGCCCAAGGTACATAGGTACATGTGCAGTGCCGTTAGGTTGTGAGTTCCACGGTTTTGACTCAATGATGATGAAGGAATGTAAAAAATTTCCAAATGAGGATGGTGTATAACTTCGGGGGTACCTGGAGGTAGTGGTGCTCCAGTTGCCCTCATCCACCTCGGTGGTAGACGTTGTGAGTTTGAAAAGTGTTGTCTAAGCAGCCTTGCCGTGTTACTGCAGTGTTTTTTTTTCATGTGGCAGTGAATGCTGAAAATGATGTGTGGAATAAGAATCAAGTGTGTTGCTTTGTCCTCAATAGTGTTGTGTTTTTGACTGCTGTTGGAACTCATTCAGGCAAGTGTACAGTACTCTATCAACACTCCTGACATGTGCCTTGTACTGCAGGCAGGCAAAGGTGAATTAGGAGGTTGAGTTAAGTATCATAGAATTCCTAGCTTTACCTGCTCTCATAGCCACAGTATTTGTTTGGCTGGCCCAGTTCAATTTCTGGTCAATTGTAACCTGCCGGTTATTGATGGTGGAGGACTTTGCTTTGGTAATAGCATTGAATATCAAGGGCAGATGCTTGAATTCTCTGTTCTTGGAGAGAGTCAATGCCTGATATGTGTGTATCATAAATATTGGAACATGCCGCCCACATTTGCATGTTGCCCAGATCTTGCTGCGTGGAGGCACAAATTGCTTGAATATCTGAAGAATCATGGAATCATAGAGTACAGAAGAGGCCCTTCAGCCATTGAATCTGTACCGCAAAAACTATACCAAATCTACACTAGTCCCACTTTCCAGCACTTAGCCCAAAGCATTGAATGTTATGATACTTTAAGTGCTCGTCTAAGCCCTACTCTTTCACTGGCTATTCTCTTCCTCTTGATATACTTGTGGCATATCCTGGGATTCTCCCTAATCTTCACCAGCAGTGTTTTCTCATGTCCCATCTTTTCTCTCCTAATTGTTTTTCTAAGTTCCTTCCTGCATGTTCTATACGACACTATGGCCTCTGTTGATTTACTATCTTTGTACCTGTACTCCCTCTGTTGTACACTTCTCTTTTCTTTTTTATCCAGTTCAAATATTCTTAAATATCAAGGGTCCTCTGGGCTTGTTTCTCCTATATTTTACCTTAAAGGAAACATGTTGGGTCCTTTATGAACACCTCCCAATGTTCTAATGTGGATTTACTGCCAAGTAGCTGCTTTCAGTCTATTTTGGCCAGACCCTGCCTTATTTTAGTAAAATTTGATTTCCCCAATCCAAAACACTCCTTTGCAGGCCATATTTTCTTTTTCCATAACAAATCGTATCGCGTTGTGGTCACTATCATTAAAATGCTCCACCACTGCCACCTTGACCATCTGTCCGGTTACATCCCTCAGAATTGGTCCAGCACTGCACCAGCCCTTATTGGACCCTCTATGTCTTGATATAAAAAGCTCTCTTGAATACATTTCAAGAAATCTGCTGCCTCTAAACCCTCTGACTATCCCAATTAATGTTGGGGAAGTTAAAAATCTCCAAATATAATTATTCTAATATTGTTTTGCATCACTCAGTGAATTGTCTACATATCTGCCACTCTACTGCCTGCTGACCATTTGGGGGTCTATAATACACTGTTATCAGTATGACTGCCCCTTTTTTATTCCTAAGGTCTACCCACAAAGCCTTATTTGGTGACCCTTCCAAGTATCATCCCTCCTTACTGGAGTAACTGACTCCTTAATTAATAATGGAACACCACCTCCACTTTTACACTCTTCAAGGCCCTGCCTGAAGAGCCTTTACTTCAGAATGTTGAGTTGCCAATCTTATCCCTCCCTCACCCACGTTCCTACGATGGCAACAACATCGTAATCATGTGTCAGTCCATGCCCTTAATTCATCAGTCTTAGCTGTAATGCTCCTAGCATTAAGTAGAGGGTATCTAGCCTTGCCTCATGCTCTTGAAGCTCACCATGTCTGAATTCTCTATGCCAAGGTTCCTTTCTAATGTATGCAGTGTC